GAGCTTGCAATTCCTTTCACTTGTCGCGGATAAGAAAAAAATGTTGGTTTTTTGCGAAAATCGTGATGGAATTTTCACAGTTGCACGTATTGTTGAGGAAAACCAATGGATATAATTATGGATGTGAGATAGTGTGTTGGAACGCGTACAATTTTCATTAAGTTAACATTGATATTTCTTGATTGATTTTTGTATCAAAAAATAATTAAGGGAGTTGATGTTAATGTAATAAATCCATTGCTATATAATATAATGGACTATTGGAATTAGAAAGTATATATGATAAAAGTGATAAGCATTATACGCCGTTCTAATTACATTTAATTATGTGATGAAATATAATTTGCGCATAACATTTATATTGATTAATTCAGATTACTTTGAGAAAGCGAGGCTTTCATCCGGATTCATAGAATAATGGGAACTCCCTTTTGAATAACGCCAAAAAATTCAGATTGACGTGCTAGTACTCGTTAAGGGAGACAGTGCTCCCTTTATTTGGAAATTTGCCTCATATTCACTCCGCTTCACGAGCATGGTACTCGTTTGTTTTTCGATTGTAATTCTTCTGACTACGCAAGTCGCTACGCTTACCACTTTATCCGTAGACAACAAGACTTCAGCATTTTTTTAAATCGGTACCATTGAAACACACCATTGAAATGACATTGATGAAATTTTAGAAGGGAATTTGAGCTTTGCGCCGTTTTCACAGCTATCAATTTTCATTTCGTCTTTTTTTTCTGGTTTAAAAGTTTTACAGAAAAACAATAAATATGCAATGATAAGTTTTGTGTTTATGTACATAAGACGAATTATGAACCGCGCAGAGGCAAAAGACTTTTGATTATAATCGTAATTGTATAAAAAATCTAAAAAATCAAATGAGAAATGTTATCACTATCATCACAGCCAATGAAACCGACCAAACAAACTGTAACTCTCCTCCACTGCGTACCCCATCGCTACATTTGCCACTATAAATTATTGTTACCGCCTGCGATGTGAATCACGCTCAACATTAGCCTAGTTCCTCTCACCAAGATCTCGGATCTCTGGCAAACGTCTCATCCTCGTCTGATAAAAAGAGATGATTTAACCCGCAATAAATGTCCGTGTTAGGTAGCTATAAACCCCTCGGCGGTCGGATGTCAAAGAAGAGCTTTCCATCTACTGAGCGGATGATCGGCTGCGAAGGTTCTACCCAGTGGCCTGGTCTAAGGCTTTACCTTCACACTATTGCGAGAACGGTTCAAATCAAGGTCGTTTTTCCGACGAAGAGCGAGAGATGCTTTCAAGAGCCTCTCAAACCACGTTCTTGTTTGGCAATATGGTGCCCGGCAACTTGGCCCTGATTATACATCCTTCAACACGTTTCCTAGTTTCTGTGTTTGGTGTTGTGGTTTTTTTTAATAGGTAGAACATTCTTAGGATTTTGAGTCGCCCTTTGTAATCCTTCATATCAATATCTTTGCCATGGGTATTCGTCATGACGCCGATAGCCAGACAAGTGTGTTTCTTCTCAGGAAGGTGTTTAGAGTAGTAAATAATTTAGTTTGAGTCTGATCCTCATACCCCTGGTAAAAATATTCTATTGTTCAAATTTCTGATAGAATATCGCTCATGTTCTGTGTTAATACAAAATGGGACACTTTTCTCAACAACTCTTGGGAATACTTAACGTAATTTGGGAAAGTTCGATTAATAGTATTACTGGAGAATCGATAATGAATAATGGACCGCTTCATGCGATGTTATGGTTTCTCATTATATACCGAAGTTGTAATAAGAATTTTGGGCGATAACTACATTGTGGTAAATAAGACGATTAAGTAGTAATACTTCTAAAAAGCAAATGTCAGGAACTACGACATTCGTTTAATTATTACACAGCAATCTAGCTAATGTTTGTTAGCGTGTCGAAATATTCTGAAAAATTAGACTCAACAAACACGCTGTTTGTGCGAATCGCTTACGAAAACGAAAAAACTTAATCTTGTATTTCGCCGACCTACAAATTTTGAAAGCGCAGCACCCCCGAACGAAATGCTACTGTCGTGGCGGAGTCTTGTCGTTTTCCTGGTTTCTGGTGTGTTGTACAGAAGAGTTTCAAAACATGGATTCATGTAACTTTCAAATCCACTTTTCAAACTTTAAAAATTACTTTCACTATAAAATACAAAGAATCCTATGAATGTTGATATTAAACTTATTCAATATGACGTAGAATTCCCCAACACATTGCTTTGTTCACCAGATGAATTAAAAGAGCTCATAAGTTACTATCTAGTGACATGCCAACACCGTGTTGTAACGAAATTGACCACTAGACAATAACTTAATATTGTTATTTGTAATATTTCTGCACCTGTTGTAATTATTTTCCCAGAGCTGTTTATCCGTTAGGCCTGTTCTCGACATTGGCTTACTGTTTACCTTTACGTAATTCGGCTACAATTTGGAGCCCTGCCGTAAAGATTTTTTCTCTCCGCAAGATCCAGCCGGCAGATGGTCTACATGCCATACTTTCAATTAAAACGATACTTTGTCGTTCTTGTTGAACAATGCTAGAATATGTTGTGCGGCGCAGAAATGTCGGGAATTATGAACTTCACAGTCATTTTGTATTTGTATTTAGTCATAATGTCCTGTATAGGGCGATTGGGCCTCGGCGCCATAAGATCTCAGTGTGGGAGTTAACTAGGTTGTCACTCAAGCAGAACCCCGCGACGTTTTCGAATTCGCAGTCACTTCGGACTGCCAGGTAGTTTAAACGGATTCGGCAACACGCCAGTTTCCATTGTCATGGCCTTCCAGTAGAGTCATCCCAGCATTCTCGATGTATGATGAAGAAAAAACTACAAAAACCCGGCTAAGGATGGCCGGACGGTGATTGAACCCGGGACCTCCGAATGCGAAGTAAACACGCTAACGCCCTGAACCACTTCACTCGATGCCATTATTATTTTACATGCCGTCAAGAATAACATTGCTTATAAGAATTGCCCACCCTTTAAACATCCATCATCCTCAAGTCGTGTTTTGCACCCGAAACAAGGGTTTTGAAATCCAGAGAGGATATTTCCATGCCACTCCAATAAAAACTTAGTGTTTAAAGTAAAAAAAATTCATTCAGAGTGACATTCATTGAGAATATTCATCACTTAAGAGTGAATAAAGGTAGTTTACACAAACGAGGAAGGCAGGACTTACAAATCAGGACAAATTAGACCAGAGTACGATTTTGGTAGGATACGCCAAATAGTGACGCCTGCGACATACAGTTGCACATCGTGGGACTGACCGCAACAGGGTATTTCGCCTGACGGGTGCAGTGAGAGTGGCGTGCCCTTATCAGCCTTCCGGCAGAGCAATCCTTGCCGACTCTCCCCACCGCCGCCACCCCTCTACGCCACCCCTCCACCCAAACCACCAACCCACCCTTTCTGAAGCGGTCAGAGCTCGCAAAGTCGCTGCAGGTTGAAGGCGAACCAGAAACTTTGAGACGCTGTGAAGTGAGCGAGAAGAAAAGTATTGTGGCCAAATTGACGAGGTTTCAGCATGCGAAGGAATGGACGTGACGCTCTGAAACACTTGAGTGAATTAAAGTACAGAAGAATGCACTTCAATTGCGATATTGAGTGTTAAGAGTAATATAAACCTGTGAAAAGTTTCCAATTTGGGTGTTATATATAATCAGTTGAATGATAAATATTTCATACCACTATTACACAGAATACTACTGTTACACATTCATTATTCAATCTCAGGTTCGCTCCCAGATTGTTGGGAGATTTATCTTGATAAAGGCACTAAACAGGCGATTTGACGTCACTCAACTCCTACCGAAAAATGTATTGGCTTACCGGCAAAGTCTCTGGAGCTATGGAAACTTCAGCAGTAAGGAAACTTGTCATTCTATGTCATCTAGTACCCAAGGTAAAAAGAGGTGAAGCCCTAATCTTCTTAAACCCTAAAAACCCTAAGCTTGTCTGCCAAATTCCAATTTACTCTATTTTTATTTGTCAAACTGGTATGACGATGTGATTAAGAGCCAGTGTTAGCTAAGCACCACGATTCCTAAAGTCGCAGTTTGAATCCCATCTTGGACAATGTCCCGTTAAATTCCGTTTGTGTATTGCTTGCGCGAAAAATTATTCTGCTGACTCTCGACGTTTGAGTGCTTGTATCTAGTATGTGCGTTCAAGATACACCTACTAGTGCTGTATATGATAACCGGCTTCGAATGAAAAAATGCGTTAACAAAATGAGTATCGCAAATTTGCAATAATATTGGTAATCGCAATAACGAACTTTCATTTAATTAGAATAACTGAAAAACATGAAGTTCATCAAGAAATATTGTTTTCTTGTGAACTAAACAACAATGTAACGCAAAACTCTTTTCAGTAAAGGTTTTTTGCCTAGTGTATAATACTCGAAATCCGAAATAAAACAAAAAATCAAACCGCAAAGTAGTTACAAGGTTCAAGTATCCAAATACAAAATGATATTATGCTAACAATAAAACGGGCCAGACAAGGCGTTACTGTAATCTTCACTAGACACATGAGTTAAACAATTGCGCCAGATATCTAGGTCCAAAGCGTAGACGAACACTAACCATCGCAGTGAGTCCTTCTGGAAAATCAATAAACCCTGCCGCTGCCTTGACCGCTCCTGCTCCACTTACACGCGAACGCTGAGTAATCTTGGCCGGTTCCGCTGGGAGGAGGTGTGGTTGGGTAGGGGGCAGAGGGAGAAGTGCTTCCGCGCGCTGGTTGGGCTGATTCGACGTGAAGACGGCGCTGTTTCACGTCTTATCGCGCTAACCGTTGGCGCCAGGTGGCATGACCGCGGCTGCAGCGGAACCACTTGGTATGGGGTGGTTACTTCAACTGTACATTTGAGGCACGACATTTATATAATGATAGAATGACATTATTCATTGGTTTATTATTATTATTATATTATTATTATTATTATATTATTATTATTAGTTATTAAACTACCTACTGACACAGTTGTAAGTTTTATTTAACAATCTTTGTAATCAAAAACGATTTGCTAACATTGCATCGGCTTAAATAGCTATAGGATCGCAGGGATGAGTTTGTTCGCAATTCTGAAGGGAAAACATATTTCTCACGCACGTGTTCAAACGTACAACTCTGCCAGATAGTGTTAATGTGGAAATGTAAACCGTCACAGAGACCTAAAGAATATTCGAAGAACTGAGTGGGCGTAGTGAAGTGGTTATATAGGCCAAAGGGGCGCATACCAGGAGAATAGGGGTTCGAATCTCGATTCTGACAGCCAATTCTTTGAACAGTCAAACATCATTTGTAGGCGTTCCTTTGTATTGTTTTATTATTATTATTATTGTTGTTGTTGTTGTTGTTCTTGCCTGCTGCTGCTGTGGTTGTGTTGCCGTTTTGTTTTTTGTTATATTATTATTATTATTATTATTATATTATATTATTATTATTATTATTATTATTATTATTATTATTATTATTATTATTGTTGTTGTTGTTTTGTTGTTGTTGTGATTGTTGCTGTGCTGTTATGATGAAAGAGTTTGAAAGAGGTGTGTTTGCGTTGTGTCGGCAGGCGCGAGCGCAAGCAGCGGGAGCGGCTGGTGCCGGGAGCTGGCGCCGACGTGCGCCGACCTGCTGGCCAACCGCCACGGGCGCGCCTGCCGCCGCTGCCGGCCTATCCCGCGCTCTACCCCGAACTACGAGTGGGCACCGGAAACGGAGCGGCTCGGGCCCCGCGGCGCCGGCCCGGCCAACGGCAGCGGCCCCGCCGGTCGGTCTCTGCGCTCTGCGCACTCCCCGCGCTCACTCCCTGCTGGGGATGCGGCGAAACATCGATGTTCAAAGTTACAACATCAATGTTAACAAAAACATCGACCCAAAACTAACGATAATTTTTGAACTTTGATGTTAATATAATACCGCCCCAAACTAACTCTAGTTTTTAAACATCGCCAACGAAATATTGATGCTTATGAACATCAATGTTCAAAATTACAACATCGATGTTAATAAAACATCGCCCCAAACCTATGATGATTTTTTAACATTGATGTTAAAAAAACATCGCCCCAAAACCAACGATTTTTTTAACATAGAGTTAATAAAACATCGTCCCAAAACCAACGATGATTTTTGAACATTGACGTTTATAAAACATCGCCCCAAATCTAACAATGGTTTTTAAATATCGATGTTTATGAACATCAATGCTCAAAATTAAAACATCAGTGTTAACAAAAGAAAGCCCGGAAACCAGCGATTTTTAAACATCGATGTTTTTACAACTGCATTAGTAACCATTAACGTTCACGTGGGAGTGATTTAATGTGAAGATTATCGCGTATATTAATATTTGGAAAATACAGTGAAAAAACGACCAGAACTTTTAGCAAATCTTTTGTCATCTTATTGGATTATTCAAAAATTATATAGACTTCATTTATCAAAATTGAAAACTCGATTTTGATTATTCTCAGTTTCAATCACATTAGTCTGAAGAATTTTCAATTAATGTTTTATTAAAATATAAAATACCATTCATGTAAAATCATCTGTCACATCAATGTGAAAAAACATCGTTTTCAAAAGATCGCTGTTAAATTCATCGATAATTTTATAAAAATATCAATGTTTTTAAAACATCGATAGCTACTCCCTGCAAAACCGAGCATGCACTTCTGTGCTGCGCCTCACAGGAGGTAGTACGTTTCCGAATTGATTTATCCTATGGATTGTTTTGCCGGGTTCGCCAATTGGCTGAAGTTCTGAACCCATGCACCCATCGACCCAGGGTTCCTTTGAAGGCTGCCCTTGGCGTGAGTCTATGGGGCCGTCTTCGATCATGTGCGCCTAGTGGGCTACTCCTGAAACGCCTAGAAGTGATTCTCACTTTTCTCGCTAGCTTTCGGTCTCGGTTATCTTCATTCGAACTCTCAAGCTAGATATCGATACCGAAAGCTAGCGAGAAAAGTGGGAATCACTTCTAGGCGTTTCAGGGGTCGCCCACTAGGTGCACATGATGGAAGAAGGCGAACTAGAACGCGAGATATCGATAGACATTGACGGAGGGATATAATTTTGCCGGGCACCTACCATTGTCATTTTACATGCCACAATCATGACATGGCCACTGTTATTTTCCATCCTTCGAAAAATCCACGCGCTTCAGCCGGGATCGAACCCATGCACTGGGGGTTTAGAGTCCATTTTGCTAAGCATTCTCCCATTGAGACGCGCCGTACAAGCATGAACGCTCTCTCACAAACGCGCGCTAAAAGCCGCAAGCCTGCCTCCCCTCTAAACATACACGCACATATTTTGTACTTCGCAGTGCTTTCACACTTCGATCACAATTATTGCATCCCCTCTACATTCCTAAACCCACACATTAATTTTAGTTCACTCACATTCACACAGACACAAACACACTCATCCTCATAACTATACATAATCATTATACCACACATTCTCTAGACATACCCTACAACACCCATATGTTCACAGCATACTTATTGTACTTTTTCTTCTATTTTCTGCTGACAAACTGTGTACTCACTACAGTCCTTGAAACATAGAAGTATACTAGGTGGCCCGTTGTTAAATGGATAAGTTTTTGCCGCTAAAAATGCCTACACTGTACCACTTTAGCGTCTTTCTTCGCTAAAACCGGTGTTCCGATCCCCGACCGGCACAGAGCTAGCTCTCAGTAGGTTTTTTCAGGGTGCTGTCATGTACTCGATCTCTCATTCAAATATTTTTCCAGAATAATACACTTCGAATAATTTACTCATTATACCATAACTCGCTGTCTTCAATTACTCCAATGACCCCAAGAAAGTACGTAGGTGAAGCAAACTTCAGCCACGATAAATAAAATTGAACACTCTACCTCACACACATTTCACATTATCGCTACACGTTTCCAACCTACTTCACATTCCATGTACAAAATACACTACACCCTTTCTACAGAAATTCTGTGCGCTCTATGTCTTCCATGTTTTCTCTTTGCACCTCCATGAACGCTCGCTGATCAGATTCAAATATCCCTCATTTTCTTTTCGTACATTTCCTTCATACTGTATTCTCTTTCCATATTTCAGGACTTTACATAATTCTTTCACATTTCACTCACATTCCTTACACTCTCTCAATTGACTCACTATCTTCACTACACCCTTCCTATACACCCTGGGCAAACCGAGAGCAAATTTTTCTTGAAAAATATTATTCTTACAGTACTGTTCATCAATGTACAATAATTTATTTCTTAACAAGAAACTTTTTCCTAGAAATAATCAATGACCAAGTGTCATTGTCATTAAGTGGATTTCATATCATGAGGAAGTTAACCGATGATTATTTATTTAACTGTGCGTGAATAAAGAAAGATTTAATCCCAGCATGAATAAAGATTTCATGTAGAATATTTCGATGGCTTAGTACTCAATTATTTCATGTCAATCCATGATCGTTTTTGAGCTAATATAATTTTTGGAGACCACTCGTTCAATTTTAAGTAATGAACAAATTGTATATGTGCATGTAAAAGGGATCATGCTTTTTTCCAGAAAGTAAGCATAGCCATTCAATAAGTAAATTCTCATTTACAAACTTATAAGTTCGTTTTTCTCAAAACTACGAATTCTAGACATACAATACGCAAGCTCTAAGCCATCTGTATGTTGAAAGTGTGTGTTTAAAATGTATCCCTTCATTCCCGATTGAAACCAACCGCGTGTTCGTCTTGTGTGTGACTGGCGACGCGACGCGACGCGACGC